AAAACCCCACCCCGCCGCCAATCGAGTTACCCGAATCGCTGATCGGCAAGGTCTGGGTTAGGAATTTTCGCCGCCGAGTTTTACCGTTGCTGTTAAGCTGTCGGCGCGTACACAGGGGGTAGGGGGAGGGTGGAAAACGTCTTAGAGATAGGCTGCTTCTTAGAAGGGGCCGGCCCTTCATCCTCAGACCAGGCCCGCGCCTTCCAAGAGGCAGGGCGCTTCTGAGAAGCCTTCCCCCCTACCCATACATGGATCGCCGCGGCGGTTGCTAAGCGGATGAGGGGGGTCGAAGTGGATGCTAAAGTGGGTTTTACCTGGCCTAACCCAACATGTATTTACTTACAAGTGGGTTGCAAGTGCCATATGTGGCCTTGGATGATGAGGCAACTCCGCTAAGTGGGCTCCGCTCACTTAGCCCAGATATGGGCGCCCTCAAGCCACCAAGGGCACGTGCAACCCACTTCTGAGCTGGGTTCGGCCAGATCGATCAAAACCACTTTAGCATCCACTTCTAAGCCCCCCATCCCCGTAGCAACCAGCGCGGCGATCCAAATGCCCCCCTCTGTGCGGGACCCATGACCTCCGGTGTCATCAGGGTGCTCTCCTGGGGTCCCTTTTTACGAAGCGCGCTCGCCTGGGCTTCCTGCGCCCAGGCCCCCCGCCATCGTATGTTTTTCACAGCGTCGACCTCCAAAGGTCTGGACCCCTTCCCCGACACTGCCTTTTCGTGCGCAGAGACCGACCATCCCAGCATTCCTATAGGCCTGTCACGAAATGTTCGTAGAACCCCAAAATGCTCTAACAAAAAAAATGCTCGTAAAGCATAAACCCCATGTGCTAAACCAAGACAGTCTCAGCCAGACATGTTCTAAAAACATTTCCCGCAAACCACAAACGGCTCTGACAACATTCTTTGGTAGTCCTTCGCCACTGCTTGATTTTCATCCCGGGTCGTTTTGTGAAGATCTCCTGAGGCCCGGCGAGGGCCCCCGGAAGCCGAAACTATGGAAAAGCGATCCACAAAAATAGCCTGACGAAAGACCCAACCATATGCAGCTGCGAGTGCCGCGAGGGAGATGAGACGATGGACGGGGGCGCGCAAACTCCTAATAGCGCACGCGTTTTAGCCTTCTGCTACGACATGTGAAGGGTGCGCCGACATGAGTCGGGAGGACGCCTGCGAACGTCGCCATTGGGGCCTTCCGTGGAACTCCGTATGGGGCCACGAAACGAGTGAGGGGTGCCGAAATGGGGCGGCGGTGCCATGCGAACTTCCCCGCTGGGGCCGCGAGGGGTGTGTCGAAGTGGGGCGGCTGTGCCACGGAATCACAAAACGTGTCAGGGGTGTTCCGAAATGGGGCCGCGGTACCATGCGAACTTGCCCTCAGGGGCCTTCGGCGGAGCTCCTCCCTGTGGGGCCACGAAACTTGTGAGGTGTGTGCAAGAATGTGGCGGCGGTGGCATGCGAGCTTCCCCACGGAAGCCTTCGGTGGAGCTTCCTATGCGGCGAAGAAGCGTGTAAGGGCTCTGCCGAAATGGGGCCGCAGTGCCATGCGAGCTTTCCCACAAAGGCCTTCGGTGGAGATTCCTATGGGGCCGCGAAACGATTGAGGGGCGTGCCGAAATGAGTGGCGGTGCCATGCGAACTTTCCCACTGGGGCCTTCGGTGGAGCTTCCGTATGGAACCACGAAGCGCGTGAGGTTCGTGCCGAAATGGGGCGGCAGTGCCATGCGAATTTTCCCACTGGGGCCTTCGGTGAAGCTCCGTATGGGGCCACGAAACGTGTGAGGGGTGTGCCGAACTGGGGCGGCGGTGCCATGCGAACTTCCCCACTGAGGCCTTATGTGGGGCTCCTCCTGAGACCACGAAACGTAAGAGGAGTGTGCCGAAATGGGGCGGCGGTGCCATGCGAACTTTCCCATTGGGGCCTTAGGTGGAGCGCCCCATGGGGCCACGAAGCGTGTGAGGGGTGTGCCGAAATGGGATGGGCATTCGGAAGGCAGAGACAGGGAGGGGAGGAGGGAAGAGGAGGAGGGGGAGGAGGAAAGAAGGAACGCGGGGCGCCGTCTCTTCAAAACGAGGACCCAACACCACAGGATGGTTGGGAACAGATGCCACTATCCCTTTGGGAGGGAATCGAAGTCAGAACGGCCCAGAAAATGAAGGATAGAGGGAGTCTTTGCTGCAGATGTATCAGACCCAACCGCCCAGGTGTATGATCGCTAATGCGAGACGGGGACATGAGTGAGGCCAAGTGTTGAACGTGAGATTTGGGTCAGGGGTTTTTTCGTTAGAACAAAAAAGAACGCGTAATGGGCCCCCCACCCAGAGCGCGACAGGGTCGGCGCCGAAGGTGCTGCTGGGGGGCCCCGTCGTGATGAGAAATTTGATTTGTTTTGGACGCCCGAAATGGGTACGGAAAACATGGGTGCAATGCCCAACGACACATGTTGTCCCAAACCAGCAGCGGCCGCTGTTGGGCGGGCGGTCTCCTGTCTTGAATGGACACAGGCCGCGGCGGCGCGCACAGCGAGCCCTGTTCAAAATGAACAGGAACTGTTGTTGGGCATCGTACCCGTTCTTTCCGTGCCCATTTCGTTCGTGCCGAAGTCTGCAGCACCCTGCAAGATCCGGCGCACTGGCTGACCCCCGCCTGCATTTATGTCGGGCGTGTCCCCCTACAGGGGGATGTTCGACGACAAATTTTAAAAATACTCTAAAACAATAAAAAAATAATCGAAAAATAGTCCGGTGACTATTTTGGGGGCATGTTTTGACCATTGTGGAATATTTTTTCGATCGTACTCGACGAAGAAACCTCCCGTCGTGATTTTTGTTCGCGGCGCGAGGGGATCCTCCCTGAACGCGCGCGCTCCCCGTGGGCTGCAAGCGCCCCGGGAACCCTGCCGGCACGCGCCACGGGGCACCCTGGCCGCGCGCCTCCCAGGCCCGGCATCACGTCGGGCACGTCCCTCCACATGAGGAACATTCAGGAACAGCAACAGAGGAACGCGGGGAGGACTCTTCGACTGCTGCTGATTTGTCTCTGCTATTTTTTTGGGGGGGGGGGAAATGACCGACCTAGCCCCGACCGTGCGCGGGGGGGAGGCGCCGCGGTGCTCCCAGCGGGCTCCCCCGCCAGCCACGGGGTGGGCGCTTTGCGAGGCATCTGCTGGGAGGTCCTCGTCGGAAGGATTCGTAGACAAGCGCGTTTCACGACTCGCAAAATAACTGCTCGCAAATGGCCCAGATCCGCCGCGCGGGATCCAGGATCCATGAATGACTACATCGGAGAGGCATGTTTTTATGTTTCCGACGTTTGCGAGTAAGCACTTTGCTAGCAGTGGAGCGCGCTCGATGAATTCAGGAAGATTGAGCCCCATTGGGGGGCTGCGAACTGTGCTGGGTGAGGCCGCGGATTGAGCGGGATGAAGTCGGATGAAACGGGATCCAGCTGGGTTAAGCTGGATGAAAGCGAACTAAGCCGGTTTTCGGACGAGGGCAAAGTCAGATTCTGACCTCCCAAGATGAAGGGGCCCTGGGACACACAAATAAATACACACAAATAAAAATATCCCCCATATTTTTCCATATTGTCTGGGTTTTTGTCTTCCCCCTCACTTCCCATATTTTCCTATATTTTCCTGGGAGTGGACGATTAATTGTGTCTGTGTGTTTTTTCTCCTCCTGACAAGAGTTGCATTGAACACGGGGGTGAGCGCGGGGGTCCCGCGTCGGCTCACGGTGGGGCTCGTCGGCAGGTCCGTGTGGCGTCGGCGCGAGCAGAGACTTTGACACCGCGTCGATCGCTCAACCTTTGGGCCGATCGCGGCCCCGACCGTTCTCGAGGTGGAATTCCGTCGGGTCCATGGGCGTCACCGCCTGAACCCTGAACGCCTTCGCAAGGTTCAACCTTGGACGCCTTCGCAAGCGTCGCCGGCGCGCCAGGAGAGCCCAGAATCCAAGTGGCATGTCGGATCAGCGATCGACATGAATCGGATCGGCGGGAATCGGCAGCCGAGCCGGGAGAAGTCGGATGGGCAGAGATCGGCAGGCCAGGAAAGCCTCCACTGAGACATCGGGAGTCCAATCGGCATCCGCAGCCGAAACGACTCGGAATCGGCCTCCATCGGAACCGCATCGAATCGAATCGGAGGAGCAGAATTGAGCACTCGGCTGGGTGGCAACATCCCAAAACCCTACCCTCACCAACCATCGATGGTCCCGACTAGATTGAAAAAAACATCGATGGTTCGGGGATCTTCTGACCCGGGTCAATCCAGACCCGGGTCAGCAGGAAACCAAAAACTGCAATGCAGGAAAAAAAAACTGCACCGCAGGTCCTCGCAGACCCGGGTCAGCCAATAGGCGCGGCCGCCTCGCGGCCACGAACGGCTCCCTAACCCGGGTCGGTCAGAGGGGGTCTTCGCAGGATCCTGCAGGATCTGGCGCCCTGGCTGACCCCCGTTTGCATTGACGCCCGTCTCGAGGCTCCCAATAGATTGAAAAAAACATCGATGGTGCCGACTAGATGGGAGCCGGGGGTCGGGCTCGGCTTTCGCCACGATCGCGCCTCGGAGTCCGAGCACCACCCCACCGAGCCGCCCACCGAGCCCTTCCGCAGCGTGGATCGGCGGTGGCAGGGCTCGGCAGCTTCCGCCGAGGGGCGGCCTGCTCGGCCTGCTCCTCGTCCAACGCCGCTGCGTCACTGCGGGTCCTCGGCTGTGCAGGCACAGCCATGGATGCCACGTTCGTCCTGGCAACACGAGGACGTGCCGAAGATCCGTCCAGCGTCCCCCCTCCTCCTCGGCGTCCGCCTCGTGCTCCTCCTCCTTGCCCTCTCTCCCATCGCCTTCCGCCTCTTTTGTGCATCGTCTCTCCTCTTTCCTCGTCCCTTCTCTCTTCTTCCCCTATATGTAGATGCCACTCCTTCGTCACGTCCTGCCTGCCCTCTCCTCCTGACTCCATCTCCTTCTTCCCCCTCTACCCTCATGCTTGCCTTCTTATCGATGCCAAACACGCCGATGGTGGCGTTCCAATAATTCACCACGAGCATGTTCTCGCATGCCTCCCCGACTTCTGAGAAGAGGGACAAAAAGGCAGCGTCAGTAACGGATGGGAAGGGAAGCCGAATCCGTTGCATGTGGCCGTACTGTTTGGGAAGAGGGAGGTGCACGATGGGACGGGGATGAAGGGGAGGGACACGAGGGGAGAGGGTAAGGGCATGCTAGGTGCACTCGCGCCACACATGACATCTCTTCCCACCACGCGGAACAGACGGACAGAGGGAGGCCCCATACTTTTGTGTTCGGTCTTCGAGCCCCCACTTCCGATACGATCCCATGTGGTCATGGGAATCGACGATTCCCTGTGTCTGTGTGTCTCTCCCCTCCCGAGAGACCCGCAGGATCTGTGTTCTTCCCCCTCCTGCGAGACCCGTGGAGTTAGGGTTTTTCCCCTCCTGAGAGGCCCGAAGACCGCCGAAGCTGGACGCCCGACATAGGTGCGGTGATCCGGGCGAGCGACCGGCGACGCCCTTCGCAACCACGGCAAGTCGGCGGCCACCTCAAGCAGCGGGTGCCCACGAGGGTGTGCGGCGGCTCCCGCTGTGGAGCGGTGGGCTCTGCATCAGCGTCACCGCGCGAACCGCTGCTGGAAGCCCGCGCTCGCGCTCGCGCTGATGTTGTTGCTGTTGCTGCTGCTGCTGCTGCTGTTGTTGTTGCTGCTGCTGTTGATGTTGCTGTTGTTGTTGCTGTTGTTGCTGTTGCTGTTGGTGGTGGTGTTGTCGGTGTTGGTGTTGTTGTGGTTGTTGCTGCGGTTGCTGTTGCTGCTGTTGTTGCTGCTGCTGCTGTTGTTGTTGATGCTGTTGCTGTTGTTGTTGTTGTTGTTGTTGTTGTTGTTGTTGTTAATGTTGTTGTTGTTGTTGTTGTTGTTGTTGTTGTTAATGGTGTTGTTGTTTTTGTGCTGTTGCTGCTGCTCCTTGCTGCTGCCCGCGTCGCGCTGCCGCCGACGCCTCCAGCAGAGATGCGGGCATGCTGGCCGGTTCATGCTGTGATGCCCGTGCCGGCCGGCTCGCTCGCGGCGCGCCCGAGAGTGGATGCTCACTCTGGGGAACTTCCTGGAGACACTCGCTCCGCTCGTGCGTCGAACCTGCGTCGAACGTCCGTCGCTGTGAGTCTCGGGGCCGGGCGTAAGGGGGGGGAATAGCAAAAGGGGGGGTTTGAGAATCAGCTCACGTGGCTGATTTTCCCGGCGCCTCCCGGCGCCAGAGGCGGCCATGCATCAAGGAAGGGGCCCCTCGGTGGGGCCGAAACCAGCTGCGTGCAGCAAATTTCGTAACCCCCCCTCTCCCAATCCCCCCCTTTCCTCCGGCCCGAGAGTCGACCCTGAGTCGAACCTGCGTCGAACAGATTTATGGGCCCAGGAAGGTCCCCGTAACGAGATTCCGACGACCGGCTCTCTCACGGCGCACCCGAGTACGATGAACGTGCCCTTGCAGCTGTGGCTCCTATACTGCCTCTGTTCGGCCGAGACGGCGGCAGCCCGCTCCAAGACGGCCGCAAGATGTCCCAGCCCCGTGTGGAGAGTGCCCAACGGCACAGCAACAGGGGGCGCCATAATTGATGGGGCCCACAAACACACAAATAAATACACACAAATAAAAATATTCCCCATATTTTCCCACATTTTCTGGGTTTCTGTCTTCCCCCCCACTTCCCATATGTTCCCATATTTTCTGGGAGTGGACGATTAATTGTGTCTGTGTGTTTCGTCCCCTCCTGAATAATGTCCCCAAGAGGCGTCCGATGACGCCCCCTCAAGACCTTGCAAGGCAGACGAGTGCTGCTGATTACAAGCATCTGCAGCTGCAGATCGCTCCAGGGTAGCTATACGGAGCCTGAAGAGGCACCCAAAACGACAGTCACGACGATCACCACCGGAGACGGCAAGACAGTCACGACGAGCCCCGAGACGGCACGACAATCATAGAGAACCACAAACTGCACAACGCAAAATTTGTCGGAGGTCCGCGCGAGTTTCCTGGATCGGTGCTGGACCCCCTCCCTGGAGCGCGGAGCGCGCCAGAAGCGGCGCGGGAAGCGCTGCCAAGGGGGGCCCAGCGCCGATCTAAGAAATCCATGCGGACCGCCGAGGAATCATGCCTATGCCGGTTCCTATTCTTCGGGATCGCCCACGCCTGCGGGAAGCACCCCCCAAAGAGATTTCCAAGGTTACAAATCTGAATTCTAATCCTTCAAAGTATATGATTAATTCCAAAAGTCCATTAATGGCCAATTCGAATGAAAATCGAGCATCATGTTCTATCTTAACATGACACGGCTCCACCTCAACCGCTGTGCGGATTAAAAGGTCGCCATCCAGGGTGAAGGACGATTGGGACGCACAAAGACATACTAGTACTATGTCCCCTCCTTGGAGGCGTGCGTCCGACGCGACCATATATCGCTTCCCAGGCGGCACGGCCAGGATACGCCCGCCACAACGAATACGATCTGAGATTACTCTGTGCGCGCATCGCCCCTGGGGGGGGGGGGGCGACGCACACATATCGGGCGGTGGTAGAACTGGGTTTAATGGAACCTGGTTTAGTGATCTGCACCGGGGGCGCCCCCCCGTCCCATTTCCACTAACCGGAACTGCCGTCACCCGAAAAAACACCAGCTATGGCAAACCTGGTTTAGTGATTCTGGCCAATTCGAAGGCTCCAGGGCCCTACAACTAACCGAGTCCCCTCACCCGGGGTTCTGTCCACCCCCGGACATAGTATTAGTATGTTGGGGTGACGCCGAAAAATGGGGGAGAGCGAAGCCGACGGGAAGACGGAGCCGAACACCGCGCAGGGCCAGAGAAGGCTGAGCCGGACCCCGCCTTCCTCCCGGCTTCACTCCTGCTGCCCTGCTGCTCTGGCGGGTGGTGGCGCCGCTGTTGTCCTCCTCCTCCTCCTCCTCCTCCTCCTCCTCCTCGTTCGCCTCGCCCCTCTCCTATCCCTTTCCCCATCCTACCTCCTCCTCCTCCTCCTCCTCCTCCTCCTCCTCCTCCTCCTCCTCCTCCTCCTCCTCCTACCTCCTCCTCCTGCTCCTGCTCCTGCTCCTGCCCTGTCCTCCTGCTGCCCGCTCCCTCCCTCGTCCCCCCAGCCCTTCCTCAGGAGAGCACGCCGTGCGCGAAGCAGCCGGGGAGGCTCCCTGTCGCCGGACCGCCACCACAGGGCCGGAGGAGCTCGAAGCCCACACAGCCGAACGAAACGAACAAGAGAAAGGAAGCAGGGCGGGATCGCTCCCTCTCCTCTTCCCCTTGCCCGCCCCAGCCCGCTCCTGAGGGGCAACGACAGGAATGGTCCAGCTCGTGGGGGGGGGTGGGGGGGGAGAAACATCGAGCTTGAATCGGCGAATCATTGCGTCGCGGATACATGGGCCACAGTTGGGGTCGATGCGTAGCGCATACCACCTGCGCCTTCGCCCCCCTGCCATTGCCACCACTGTTTTCGGGTCAATGACTCCTCTCTCCGGCGGTCGTTCGGGACGATCCAGACAGCCCCAGAACGCCCTCGGCGAGACGCAGCTGCTGGAGAGCAGAGATCACCCCGAAGCCGTAAAGCCGACGAGGACAGACGAAAACGTAGGACAACTTGTAGAGTCGAGCTCGAAACGCTGCCTATGACACCCCGCCTTGTCCAACGTCAGGTAGCAGGTCGACGTGCCCTCCGCGCTGGTGCTGGAGAGCTTGGTGAGCTTGCCCCCTGGAACCCATTTTCCATTACTCGCGATCAGAGCCGTTACCGCCCCCCCCCGTGGTCACGTCACAATTCGCGCGCAGGCTCCTTTTAGGAACTAGCCATACCTAAGTTTCCGAAGCATTCTAGACGGCACCAGCGCGAATCGTGATATTACCAGCCCCCTCCCCCTCTCCTCCTCCCCGGTCACGCCTGGTATCACAAATGGGGACGGCACAATCCACCCCCACCCCCAGGCAGGACCCACACTCCCGACCTGGTGGCCCAGGGGGGCCTGGCTGTGGGCGGGCGTGGTTGTGGGGAATTCCGATGGCCAACACATATCTCCCTCCCCCGGCAAATGACCCCTGAAGACAACCTCCAAGGGAAAGCAGCCTGTAAGAGCCACGATGTGCCACGCGAAGAGAGAACATCCGCCCAAGGTTTAAGTCGGGCCTGTCCCCCTACAGGGAGATGTTCGAGGAACAAATCCTGTTTTCAAAAAAAAATCGATGTCAACCAAAAATGCAAAACGAATAGTCGCCGTACTATGTTTTTGATATTTTTGAACACTCCCCCTGTAGAGGGACAGGCCCGACTTAACCCAAAGTGCACCCGGCTCGTTGACACGGGAGAAACCGGCGCACCGTGGCCAACGACGTGTGTGAAGGGGCCCCAGGACACACAAATAAATACACACAAATAAAAATATTCCCCATATTTTCTCAGATTTTCTGGGTTTCTGTCTTCCCCACCACTTCCCATATTTTCCCATATTTTCCTGGGAGTCGACGATTAATTGTGTCTGTGTGTTTTTTTCCCTCCTGAGTGTGGGCCACGGGCGCCTCGCTCCCAGGGGGCTGCGCAGGCCTGCGGCCCGCGGCGCCACCAGTGCCCCCCCCCCTTTCCCAGGGGACACACAGAGACATACTGATGCTATATTGAAGGGGCCCCAGGACACACAAATAAATACACACAAATAAAATGATTCCCCATATGTTTCCATATTTTCTGGGTTTCTGTCTTCCCCCCCACTTCCCATATTTTCCCATATTTTCTGGGGAATCGAGGATTAATTGTGTCTGTGTGTTTCTTTTCCTCCTGATATATGTCCGCCTTGGAGGCGCGCGCCCGACCCGAACATATAGCATACCCATCTTGTAGTACATAGTTTCCCGAGCGGGGTGGCCAGAAAGCGCCCGCCACGACGCATATACTATAAGATTTCTCGGTGCGCGCGTAGCCCCTGGGGGGCGACACACATATAGTATAAGCACGTTGGGGTGACGCCGACCCCAGGCCGAGGGGGAATATATTATTTCCGTCTACAGTGGAGGCCAGTCCAGAAGAAACCTTCCACAAGAAGCCCAACTGAGTCCCCAGGGCGTCCATTGATTGTTGGTGTCGAGACGTCACGCCTGCGATTAAAAAACCATCGAAGCCCAAGAAACACAGGGCATCCTGGAGGCAAGCAGGTTGCTTCTTGGCATGGGCCTTCACTGTATTGACATGGGGAAAACAACATCTAGCTGTGCTGGCTGCGAGAGCAACTGCAGCCATCTCGGCATGCACTGAAGTATCCCGTCCACAACTATACATCCCTTTCTCGCCCATCGGGAGCGCACCACGCATGGATCTCGAAGCGGCAGGAACCTGCGGCCGTGCGGGTCAAATCACACGAGGCCAAGGCCTTGGGCTGCCTCATCGTCGGCATCCCGCTCGTCGAGAGGGGCGACGAGAACGAGGACGACCGAAACGACTTTGAGATCCTCCCAGCGAGGCGCGGCCGAGACGCCGCGGAGGGGCACGCCGTCAGGACCGAGGATGGCCAGCACCAGCGCAGCCCTCGACGCGGCAACCCTGGGCCCCCGCTGTATAGGCGTCCGTTTTTGTTCGTCTTTCCCGGGTAACGGTCGTTACCTGTGGGCGGGGAGGTCTGGCGGGAGGGAAACGGTGACGGCGGCAGCGGCGTGCAGCCGCCAGGGTGCGTCTGCGCCACCGGCGCATCAATCCTCTGTACGCACCATGGCATGTGGGGGGGGGGTCCAGGCCAACCCTCCAGTGCGATCGCTAGCGTTACCCAGGGGTGTGGGGGTGGCCCATGTACAGTCGGAGCTAATTAGGCCAGAAAAACATCCTTCAAGAACATGAGACCCCCCGCCGGCCAAAACAAACAGAACATTCAAGTATACCTTTCCCAAGTTGCACAAGAACTGTTTGATCCGCGGGTCGAGAGCGAGCCTCCTCCGGTCGAAGCTAAGCGGGTCGCGCACAGCTTTAATTAACAGAGGAAGGAAAACAGAAGGAGGGGCCTCAAGTCAAGGCCAAGAGAGGGCAAAGCCCCGGAATCAGGCGGTGCCAAAAGCGAAGTGCATGCAAAGGCACGCCTGGAACATGAACCCGGAGGCGAAGTACCGGGAGGCAAAAAGCTGGTGGTGGTGCCGTCAGCGGCGCATCAAGATGCACAAGAACACCCAACAACCACGAAGAACACGAGGGTACCCTCCCCGAACCGACCTCGATCTTATACCTCGGGCCGACTGCACAGAGTGCTACCCTGGGGAGGACAAGCGGCCACCAAGAGACAGCAAAAGAAACCCCAGGAGGCCCCATGACGCCCCAGGAAGCCCCGAAGACGCCACGAGGAGGCTTCCGGGGAGAGGTGCGGAAGAGGAGGAAGAAGAGAAGGAGGCGCATGAGGAGGAGGAGGCGGCGGAGGAGGAGGCGGAGGAGGGGCAGGAGCACGAGGAGGAGGAGGAGGAGGAGCAGGACGAGGAGGAGGAGGAGGAGGAGGAGGAGGAGGTCCGATGGAACCCATCTCCCTGCGGCATGCGCCGAGCCGTGGGCCCGAGTCCGGGCGAGAGCGCCTGCTGACCAAGGATTGCCGCGCGAGGCCCACCGGGGGCGGCGCGCGGAACAACCATACACTGGTGGCGCTCCGCGCAGATCTCTTGGATCCGCGCTGGACCCCCCTCCCTGGCGCGCGGGGCGCGCCAGGGCCGGCGCCGAGGGCGCCGCCGCGGGGGCCCGACGCGGAGCCGAGAACCCCGCGCGGAGCCCCAACAAAAATCCTGCCCCTGGCGTGCTCTCTCCTCTGGGACATGGCCGCGCCGGGCCCTCCGCGGGCGGCGCGAGGAGGGCGCGAGCGCTCCGCGGGCGGCATCTGTGCGCCACCCCCGCGCCTGGCCAGGGCCACCCTGGGCCCCGCCGTGGTGCGCATAGTTACGCCCTCCGGGCAGCGGCCCGGCGGGCGTGCGCGCCGTGCCGGAGCCCAGAGGCTGGCGCTCTGGCCGGCCACGGCGGCGGTGGTGCCGTGCCGCCTCGGCTCGCTCGGCGGCGTGCCGCGGCGAGCCCCGGCTGCAGGCCACGCGAGGGCGGCCCCCGGCGGCCTCTCGAGCCGCACCGCGCGCCAGGACCTCCCGAGCGAAGTGCCACCCCACCTCCCCTTGGACATCGTGGGGTGGTGGGGGTGGGGCTCGCACGTGGCCACCGACTTGGCTCCCTCGGCGGCGTGCGGCGGTGCGCACCCCGGCGGCGGGCTGCGACAGGGCGGCCTTGCGCGCGGCCTCTCGAGCCGTGCCGCGCGCCGCGGGGGCCCGCAAGGATCGGCGTGTGTGCGTGTGCCGAGGCTGCGGCGCCAAACTCTCGGGCATGCCGCCAGGGGCCTGCTTCCCAGACACCGGGCCGCTCTAATTTTTGTTTCGGTGCGTGGGTCCCAGCCTGGATCACCGCGGTGGTGGCTGGGGGATGGGGGGCTTAGAAGTGGATGCTAGAGTGGGTTTTATCTGGCCTGACCCACTTTAATTGGGTTACCAGTGCCCGATGTGGCTTACTATGATGAGGTAACTCCGCTGAGCAGGCTCCGCCCAATACGCCCAGATCTGTACACCCTCAAGCCACTTGGGCACGTGCAACCCACTTCTAAGCTGGGTTGGGCCAGATAGAACATACCTTAGCATCGACTTGTATCCACTTATCCTCTCAGCAACCCTCGCGGCGATCCAAGCAAACGTCCACACCATTTCCCACGGGCCGGTTTTTCGTCCTGAGCCGTTGTTTGACGATCCCGAGGCCCGGCGAGAACCCCCCGAGGCCGAAAAGGTCAAAGACCGCCCGCCCCAATCTGGCCATCGCTCGGACGTCCATTCCGTGTATTTTTCGATTTCGTGCGTGTTTTTCTTCGCCAAATGATCAAGGATGGTCCTCGATGGCCGTCGCCGATAAAAAAATGCACACGTCCGAGCGATGCCAAGCAATTGTTTTTGGAGCGTCGGATCTCTGGATCTCAGCTCTGGCAGCGCGGGCGCCGTGGCGGCGGCCTCGGCCGGCGCCTCGATGCCAGGCTCGAGGCCGCGCGGCACCAGAGCAGCACCTAAATCTGGGGGGGGCGTCGCTGCCTTCGGGGTCGCCCCTGGGTGCCAGTGACGAGGAAGGAGGAATAAGAAGAATAAGAATAAGAAGAAGAAGAAGAAGAAGGGAAAACGTGGTGAGAAAGAGAAAGAGAGAGAGAACCAGAAAGAGACAAATGAAAGAGAAACTATGAGATAATAAAAAGAGAAGCAGAGAGAGAGAGAGAGAGGGAGAGAGAGAGAGAGAGAGAGAAAGACAGCGAGAGAAAGCGAGAGAGAGAGAGACGATACGCGAGCGAGATAGAGAGGGGAATATCACAGAGAGAGAGAGAGAGGTATGTGATATAGGCCGAGAGAGTTAATACGGTATCTATATATATATATGAGAGAAAGGGAGAAGGACAGAAAATGAAAGAGAGAGAGAGAGAGAAACAAACAAATGAGAGGCGGAATCTGTATACATATACATATATAAATATGTTTCTATATATAAATATATATGTATCGGAGGTTGGGGGTGAGATCGAAGTGGAACGGAGAGCCCCCCACCGGGAAATCAGTTTCGGTTTCGTGTTCGTGCGTGCCGTGCGTGCGGGCGAGGCGAAACTGCGTGGGCGGGCGAAAAAAAAATCTCCTGTGGCTGAGGCGCGGCCAGAACAAATGATTCCACCCCTGGCAAACGGGGCAAGGCGGTGCCCCGCCGGTGTCCCGCTGGTGTCCCGGTAAGTCTCCTATGGCTGAGGCGCGGCCGGACCAAATGTTTCCCGACCGGCAAACGGGGCCGCGCGGTGTCCCGCCGGTGTCCCGGTGTCTCGCTGGTGCGAAAACGATGATGAGACCGATAGTGAGATCGATGGTGAGATCGATTGTGGATTCGATAGTGAGATCGATAGTGAGATCGATCGAGTGAGATCGATGGTGAGATCGATTGTGGGATCGATTGTAAGAGCGATAGTGGGATCTATGGTGAGATCGATTGAGTAAGATCGATAATGAGATCGATCGAGTGAAATCGATAGAGCGATCGATAGTGAGATCGACCGTGAGATCGATAGCGTGATATCGATAGTGAGATCGATAGTGGGATCGAAAACGAGATCGAGAGTGAGATCGACAGTGAAATCGATCGAGTGAGACCGATAGTGAGATCGATCGAATGAGATCGATGGTAAGGTCGATAGTGAGATCGACTTTGGGATCGATCGTGAGACCGATTGTGAGATGCAAATCGAAATGCAGGTAAAAATGCAAATCGAAAAACAAGTCGACATGCACATCGATAAGCAACTGCAAATGCAAATCGTCAGGCACATCAACATCCCGTGCTGTATGCTGTGCCAAGAGCGAGCGGCAACGCAACAATCTCTGAACACCAATCTCTGAACACCAAGGCTCCAAGGATGACGTAAACAAGTCGACACCAAGGCTCCCAAGAGCGAGCGGCAACGCAACAATCTCCACTGGTATCGTCAGAACAACAATTACCACTGTTGCCCATGGCTGGCCCCCTCCCCCCCCAACCTCCTTATCACCCGCAGGGTGGTCGTATAGGTATACATATATATATAGAGAGAGAGAAGCATGAACGATATAAAAAAAGACGAGAGACCTCCACCCATCCTCCTCCCAACCCTCCCGAACAACCGCCACATCCTACCGCCCGCCTTCTCTCTCCAACCTCACTCTCCGCTCCACCCTCCTCCCTCTCCCTTCCGCCCTGCTCCGAACCCATCCTCCGCATCCTTGTGGGGCGCACCGTCTCTGGGCGGCATGCTCCAGGCGTCGATGATGCCGTTCTCGGCCACGGACTCGGTGCAGGTGTAGAGCACGTTCTGGCCCCGCCCGGGCCCAAAGGGCCGGTAGCTTCTTCCCCGTCCCGCAGGCCACGCCAGCACAGCAGGACGGCCACACGTCCCCCCTTGGAGGAGGGGTGGAGAGGGGCAGGGGCAGGAGGGGCATTATGCTACGCCCGTGCTGGCAACAGCCTTGTCGGAGAGGGGGGGTCTGGCCATCGCTCGGACGTCCATTTTTCCTGTGCTTCTCTCGGCTCCGCGCGTGTCTTTGTCGCGAAACGATCAAGGATGCTCCTCGCTGGCCCTCGCCGAAGGAAAAACGCACAAGTCCGAGCGATGCCAAGCGGGTGGGGCAACGTGCTCTCTCTCGAGGGAGGGGAGGGGGCTCTGTGGAGGCACCCCCCCTCCTCTTGCCGCTGGGAGCTCCACCGCTGGCCCTCCCTCCCGCTGATTTTTGCCCGCCCGGGCCCGCGTGACCCGACTCGCCCGTCCAAACTGAAGGGGGCCTTGGGACACACAAATAAATACACCCTGCGAAATGCTTTAAAAATCATGGGTTAAGAAATCCATAGTCTCAGAATTTGAATAAAAACCCAGAATGTCTATTCAAATCTTGGGATTTACATTGAAACATTAAGAATAATCGAGACTCTGGCCGAAAACTTTGGTTTTCTTAAGCATCGCCTCGAGTGTACACACAAATAAAAAGATTCCCGATATGTTCCTATATTTCTGGGTTCTTCTGTCAGGCCGGCCCGATCCGCTCTTCTGTCAGGATCCGCTGGCCCGCTTGCCTGAAAAAAGCCTGCACGCCTGTCCCCGAACGGGGGATGCGTCGACCCCTATCCCAGGTTTCGTGGGGTTTTCTGATGGACCAGAAGTTTGGGGCCCAACCCTGGGATCTACAAGGGCTCCCAACTTCGCGCTTCGCGCTCCGCGAAGCGCGAAGCGCGAATAACTTCGCGCTCTCGCGCCGCCCCCCCAAAGGGAGAAAAGGAGGACGAGGAGGAGGGGGAGAAGGAACGAGGATCGCGAAGCGCGAATAACTTCGCGCCCTCGTGGGAGCCCTCGGATCTACGATGGGTGGCGTGCATCCTCGATTGCCCCCTTGGGGTGTATCCCCAAATCCCCTCCTCTTCCTAAGCGGCAAATCTTTTCGGACGGATTCTGGGGATTGGGGAAGAAAAATCGCCTACGATCGTTGCAAATCAACCAGCCCACGACGCAACGAACCAACCCACCTGCCTGCCAACCAGCCCTCCCTCCAACCGGCCAGCCAACCAGCCAGCCGACCACCAAACAACCAACGAACCAACCAACCCACCAACACGCGAACTGATCTTTGGACGCCAAAAACGGGTACGCAAAAAATGGGTACAATGCCCAACAACGAATGTTGTCCAAACCAGACAGCGCCCACTGTTGTGCAGGTGCATTTCTGCCTTCAATGAACAATGAACAACGTCCGCGGCGACGCGGACAACGAATCCTGTTCAAAATGAACGGGAGCTGCTGTTGGGCATCATACCCATTATTGCCGTACCCGTTTCGATCGTCCCGATGATCAACCAAACAGTCAACCCATTCACCCAAAAGCCGACCAACCAACAAATCGGACAGACAACTGACCAGTCCATACGCAACCCAAGTACGCAAACGAAAAGCATGAACACCTGAAGACCAGTCATTCAGAATTCGGACGGGCGATAACAAAGCACATAGTTTGATCATATACCATACACCACACCTCCCACCAAGACTGGGCCTCCGAGACATCACTTAACCTCCAAATTCTCACATTCGCTGTCCTCGTTGAGGGTCTCCATCTGGCTGCGCGAGTGCGGTATTGACAGGCCCAGCTCGGATGCTGGGGTCATGACAAAAGAAAACTCGAACACAAATGTACCTCGAACGCGAGGCGGTTTGAACCGAACACGCCGTTCCAAGATCGGCGCATGCCTCCCATGCAGTCGGCAAACTGAAGCAGCAAGGGAGACTAAGTGCGCCACAAAACATATACACAGACACCCTCCGAAGAAGTTTGCATGTACCTTCAGGGAGGGCGGCGGTGTATAAAATCGCTGGCTCCCAGAAGTGATTCATGCACCGCGACCCTCCCTTGAGGCCCAAGATCAGTCCATCGGAGGGTGTCTGTGCGGAGAGACGGTGAAGGAAGAGAGGGCCTGGGGACACACGGGATGCTGCGAAAAAGAAAGGCCGCAGTGATAGCGAACTCGCGCGAACCTGGGCGGGGTGGGCCATCGGGCCCCTATCGTTGAACAGGGACCGACCGTCCCGGCATTCCTATAGTCATACCACGAAATGTTCTTAGAACCCAAAAATGTTCTAAGAACAAAAACAGTGTTCTTAGAACATCAACCCGATGTGCTAAAATAAGACAGACCCAACCAGAACTGTTCTAAGAACATTTCGTGGGAACCACAAAAGGTTCTCAGAACATTGTTTGGTGGGGCTATAAGCGAGCCGGGACGCTTCGCCACTGCTTGATATCGGTGACGGGTGGGCGACTGGATGCCGAAGAGAGGGCCGCGCGCGCCGGCCGGCGCCCGCCTTGCTCGGGTGGAAGCGCGAGAAGGCCGGGTTCATCGCCGCCTCCTCGGGTCGGGGAGCTGCCGACCCGAGTCGATCCACACCAGGGTCAGTCAGGGTCCTGCAGGGTCCTGCAGGATCCTGCAGGAGCCGGCGCCCGAGCTCGGGTCGGTGCGCCCCTGGCTCCGCAGGATCCTGCAGGAGCCGGCGCTCTGGCTGACCCGATCGGGGGGGGCTGGAGGGGCAACGACAGGGGGGGGGACTGGCAGGGGGGGGGCACCTCGGCCTCGAGGCGGTGATGCCATCGCCGAGATATCAGCGACAGGCCCCCGATCGTGAACCCACACGCTCCAGGGCATGTTGGGGCTATATCGGGCACCTATCGGCGATTCGGGGTCGATGCACCCCTCCCTACGCCTATCCCACCCTCTTGTTGCCCCTGATGGGACAGGCGGTGGCCTCCTGGGGCGGAGCCGAGGCAAAAGTATCACCGCGAGGCGCGGCCCGGAACCAGATAGAATCATCACGCCGGGTCCGGGAGTCTCTCGAGTCCATAAGCCCCCTGTCGTAACGGCCGCGGCGCACCTTTTTCCCATCGATGGCTATATCAGTCCTCGTATGCGGTCGGGGGGCCACGGGTCGCTGCAATCGGAACCAGGCCAGAAGACCATCCTTCAAGGGACCCAGGCGAAAGTCGGACCCGGGCCAGAACACGAGACCCTCCGTCGGCCAGAGCAGACAGAACGCCCAAGGGTACCCCCCATCGGATGCACGAGAGCGTCCAGCAAACACGAAGAGCATCAGGGCACCTTTCCGAACCGACCTCGGTCGTGCACCTCGGTCCGACTAATATCATTGTTAGTATTATTGTTGTTATTATTAGTATTATTATTCTTATTATTATTATTATTATTATTAATATTAATATTATTCTTCTTCTTATTATTATGACTGCACACACAAAACTGCCAGGTGACTGCGGCGCTCGGCTCGCTGCGGAGAGCCGGCGCCGGGCAGCAGATGGGGGGGGGGAGGGAGGACGGGAGAGTCCCCGGAGCAGGGGGGGGGCGCACGGAGGGAGGGAGGGCGGGAGGGAGGCAGAGGGTCGGGGGTCCAGGTCTGAGGCCCGCAGGTACCTCCGGGAGGGAGGAGGACGAGGGAGCAGCGAACGGAGGATGGAGAGGAGATGGTCGAAGGGTGCTGCGGATGTCGCGCGGAGGAGGGCCGAGGGTTGTGGATGCCATGACAATGGGCACTCGAACAATCCGATAATTGAATTCAATAGGGGTGTTGAACATGTGTACAGCATGTTCTAAACATGTTCCAAACATGTTTTCTACATCGTCAAAACATGTTTGAAACACATGTTAGACATCTGGAATTGATTTGGCTGCATGCTTCCTCTGCGCTCATCGACTTCCACAAGACAAGGGGAGATGACGGGGGAAGTGGAGGGTAAAGACAATACATTCGCAAATGTTCGCAAATGCTTGAGGGTCCTCTGAGGTGCCGTGTGCTGGGGGGAGCTGCGGAGACGCAAGGGATTGCTGCTCCAAGCGCGGGAAGGAGGAGGCAACAGCAAGGGGGGCCGAAGACTCTGCCGGAGTCGGCGGAGTTGCTCTGTGTGCTGCTAGTCGAAGTGCAGCCACAGGGAGGGGAAGGAGTGCCCCCCTCATACTGTCCCTGGCCCTTTTTCACCTAAGCACTCCCCCCTCCTCGGACTTGCACCCCTGCACCTGCCTCCCTCCCTGTCCTGTTCCTCTCGCACCCCTGCTAAGTAGAGCCGCTTGGGAGATCTAAATGGATGCTGTTATGTCTCCCCGCGTTTCGTGTTTCTCTGTTCGGCGCCTATGCCTCACGGCCCCTCCTCCGCCCCCTGCCTTCCCCTCGCCCACTGCCTCCCCACCTCCGCCCTTTCCATCACCTCCTTCGCACTAGCCCACCTTCTCCTCCTGCTACTACTGCTGCTTGTCGTCATTCTCCCCGTCCGTCGGAAACGGCGACCGCGACGACTATGATGACGAAGACCCCGACGACGATCTCGACCGCCACCGCGACCACGACGACGACTGCGACGATGCCGACCCCGCCCACGCCAAGGCGGCGATCACGGCGACGACGGCACAAGCGACCACGACCTCGACGACCACGACCTCGACGACCACGGCGGCCGCCGCGTCCGTCGACACCGACAGCATGAGCATCTGGCCGTCGCTCGGGTCCTGGCCACCGGGGGCGCCGCCGCCGCCGCGAGGCGGGGCAAGCGCTGCGCGCCCCGACCGCTCCCTCCTCGGCAGGCATCCCGGGGGGGGGAGGTGCTCCCAGGGGCCGCCCAGGGGCCCCCCGCCGCCCCGCCGGGTGCGGAGGGGCCGCGGCAGGGAGGAGGGCGGAGGGGCAGCAGGGAGCGTCACGGGCACAGTACTCGTACACACGCTAGGCTCTTCGATCTCTCCACTCTCCACGTGCACCCTCCCCACTCTAGGTACATGCTCTCCAGGCGCCGGGAGCCGCCCGAAAAGTGCGCCGCCCATCGACATCGCCCCAACTTCCACGGGGATCCCGTTCAATGCAACCACGGCCTCAAGAACCACAAAAACGTTTGGACGTACCGGGCGCAGGTGCTGACGAGCAAGCCCAAGCGACCGAGGCGCTGGTGCAGTCTCATGCGGCGAAGTGCGTGTGCCTGTGCCCGTTTGGGCATGGCGATGAGGCCATAGCGCCTAAAAACCCTGCCGATCTCTGAGATCGGGCATCGGACATCGGCCTGCATCACGCAACGCGTGGGTGTCGCAGGGCAGAGCCGAAACGCCAAACGTCTGGACCGTAAGCGGATCCAGAGGTAAGCCCCCTGTGTCAGAGGGCCCTCTTGGTGGGGAGCGCACGTGCCTGGAGTCAGGCAACCCATCATAAAAGACTAAAACGTCTGTGGTGGCCTCTTGGGACTCAACGCCAGGCGACGCTGAAACCATGCCACTCGTCGTTCATCGACGCTAAGTCGTTGACATATCATCGACAGTTAGACGCTAACCGACGCTACCGCACTCTGAATACAGAACATCGAGGGTATGCAAGGCGCCCATGTTTTGCTGCCGAGCACCACCCCTTCCCTGAAGAGCGGCCCCGCGGCACGCTGGGCGGACTGTTCTGCAGAGCCCAATTTTCACGTCCGGCGTGTAGGAAGAGGAGGATGAAGGAGGAGGAGGGGGAGAAGGAGCAGGGGGAGGAGGAGGAGAAGGAGGAGGCGAAGGAGGAGAAACAGCAGGAGGAGGGGGAGGATGGGGAGGAGGAGGAGGAGGAGGAGGAGGAGGAGGAGGAGGAGAAGGAGAAGGAGAAGGAGGACGAGGAGGGGGCGGAGGAGGAGGAGTGGGAGGACGAGGAGGAGGAAGAGGATCAGTTAAAACCCCAGAGTCATCAACGATGTTGGACTAAACCCTCCCTCCAAGCTCCGTCTTTTCAGGCCCCTACAACGGGTAATTTGCACTGAATGAACTGCCTCGTTAGAAGACAACTGGTTGCAGACCCTGAGCCATGCCAAAACATTGTTCTCGGGATTCCAACGCCCGGATCAACATGAGTGATGCGTCTTGGCGATCCTGAATCGTGTCAGAACGCCATCCCTGGGACCTCAACACCGCGAATCTATCTAACTGTTGCACCCTCATAATCCTGAATCCTTCCAGAATGCAATTTCCGGTACGGTGACCATGTAAAAACGTGGAGCTCTTGCAATCTGGACAAACGTTTGTGCGCGGCGCTGAAGCGAGAACGCCATTTTGAAAAGAAACCACTCTCATTCCGCGAAATTCTTGCACATGTTTAAAACGAGTGTGCGCGGCGCTAAGGCGAGAGACACATTTTGAAATCCAGTCGCCCTGAATTCGTGATTCTCTTTCACATGTTTAAGACGAAGATGCGCGGCGCTAAGCCGCGAGCCACATTTTGAAAACCACCCGCCCTCCATCTGTGAAACTGTTGTCATGCTGTAAGCTTCAGGGTCATAGATGGTGAGGAAGGCGAAACACCCAGACCGACCTAAAAACTGAGGGGTGCGACAGGGAGAAGTGTGTTCATAAGGAACAGGAATGGAAGGGGAAGGAGGAGGAAGAGGCGGCGGAGACCAAGAGTCACGCGTTGGAATTGAGAAGGGGGCTCGGTCTGTGGTGGGTTTCTCGGCTTGCACCCCGGCTCTCCCATTTCCAAACCTCCCCTTCCCTTCTGCTCTCCCCTCGAGTCTGGCGCTGGCTGGCGGAGGAGGTGCATTGACCGTGCTGGGCAATCGAAATCATACCAGATAAGTTGCACTACGACCTTCCGCACATCCTCGTCCCCTTTGGCGTCTGTCATGCACTCCTATCCCGTCTTGCAGCAGTATCACCACTCTAACGTGAACTGTAGATGGATCCCCCGCCGTGCAGCAGGCAGTGTTGGGCCGTGTTCGGATGCTTGTTGTTCGCCTGTGATGTTCTCAGGGCCCCCCTCCCACCGGGGCGCGCATCCTTAAACATCCATCCCCCTTGCCTCGAGGAGGAGAAGAGGGAGGAGGATGAGGAGGAGAAGGGGGAGGAGAAGGAAGAGATGGGAGGGGGAGGAGGGGGAGGAGGAGCAGTGGTGCCTCTCAACACCCTCTCGGCCTCGAGACGGCTCAACAAAAAAACAATTACCTCCCCAGCATGGCTGCAAGAACGGCCCGCGACCATCCCAAGACGGCCCCACGAGCTTCCCCTATGATCCAGGTTCTGCCAAAGAGACGGCCGAAGAGGCCTCTGGCGAGCCCTTGCCCCAGATCCCGTGGTCACCCTCCATCCCTATTCAAAGATTCCTGTTGCCCGATGCATGGTTTGTACTTTGCCCATCTTCGGCAGCATTGGCAGCTCTCCATTCCCCCATGAAGCCCTATGGTTCCTCTCGACAGATGTCATCCGCCAACGTGCCGCTGAGCACGGGGTGGGCATGTCCTCAGGTCCTGGGTGGGCCCAATCCTCTAAGTCACAATCCTCCCTCCTGAGGAGTCTTTAAGGGGCCGGGACCCCTTTCTCTCGAATATTCTTGGGTTTGGCGCGTCTTCTCGCGTGACTTGTTCGGGCCCAGGGGGGACCCATAAACCAGGCACGGCGGCGGGATGGGCCGAGGGCCATTCGATCCGCCGCCCCCTGTCGATTCATCGCAGGGGTGCCTGGCGTGCTAGACTCTCTCGGTTTGGGCTTTGGTCTTTTTCCAAAAGAACTCCCCCTGGGGCTTCGGCCCGTCCCGCCGGCCACCCGAAAAGATTGCCCAAGCCCGGTTGCAAAGGGTTGTTCCTGCTCCAGACGGCTCCAAGACGGCCTCCAAGATGGCCAAGATGGCCTCCAAGATCGCCCAAGAGAGTCCAGGATGTCTCCAAGTTCGCACAAGAAACACCTAAGACGGCCCAAGACGGCCCCACAGGCCTCCAAGAGGCCTCCAAGACGGCCCAAGAGGCCTCGAAGAGGTCCACCAGGGTCTTCAAGGACGGCCCGAAGAGGTCAAACTCATTGATTTAAAGCATTGAGTTTCCTCAGGGTTGTGAAGGATTTGGGATGTTGCTCTTCGGCCTTCCGACAGCCCGAGACTGCCCAAGAGGCCATCAAGATCGCCCCACAAATGCCCAAGAAGCCTCCAAGACAGCCCCAGGACGGCCCAAGAGGCCCCCAAAGACGGCCCCAAGAAGGCCCCAAGACGGCCCAAGAGGCCCCCAAGACTCCCAAGATGGCCTCCAAGACGGCCAAGATGGCCTCCAAGATGCCTCCAACACGGCCAAGATGGCCCCCAAGACGGCCAAGATGGCCCCAAGATGCACCCAAGACGGCCCAAGATGGCCTCAAGATGGCCTAAGACGGCCCAAAAGGCCCGCAAGAGGCCTTCAAGTCGGCACAAGACCTCTCCAAGACGTCCTCCAGGAAGGCCCGAATTGATATTTCATAGGTTTTTCAAGGATTGTAGCTTTTGCTCCTTTTCAGCTCTCCGACGGCCCAAGACGGCCCAAGCGTCCTCCAACATCGACCCAAGAGCGCCCAAGAGGCCTCCAAGATGGCTCCGTGACAGCGCAAGAGGCCCCCAAGACAGCCCGAAGAAGGCCCCAAGACGGCCCAAGAGGCCAGCCAAGACTCCCAAAATAGCCTCCAAGACGGCCAAAATGGCCTCCAAAATGCCTCCAACACGGCCAAGATGGCCTCCAAGACGGCCAAGATGGCACCAAGATGCACCCAAGACGGCCCAAGCTGGCCTCAAGATGCCCTGAGACGACCCATAGGCCAGCAAGGGGCCTCCAAGACGGCCAAGAGCCCTCCAAGACGTCCTCCAGAAAGGCCAGAAAAGGCCAACATCATTGAATTGCCGTTTTAAGGATTGCGGCGTGTGCTCCTCTTCAGCTCTCCGACGGCCCGAGACGGGCCAAGCGGCCCCCAACATCGACCCAAGAGCGCCCAAGATGCCTCCAATATGGCCCCATGACGGCCCAAGAGGCCCCCAAGACGCCCAAGATGGCCTCCAAGACGGCCAAGATGGCCTCCATGATAAGACGGCCAAGATGGCCTCCAAGACAGCGAAGATGGCCCCAAGATGCACCCAAGACGGCCCCAGATGGCCCGAAGATGGCCTTCGACTGCCCAAAAGGCCCGCCAGAGGCCTCCAAGACGGCCCAAGACCACTCCACAACGTCCTCCAGGAGGCCCAAAAGCTGTGAAACCACCTGGTCCGATAGCTCGCCCGACTCGGTGTTCCCCGAAGGCTTTCCAAACCCACTCGGGGAACGCGTGACCCGACAGCTTGGCCACGCTCAAACCCAACTTTCGGTCACGCAGGCGCTTCCAAAAAGGCGGAGGGCGGCGGTGATTCGCCGTAGGCGTCTTCGATATAGACTTGCTGTCGAATTCCATGCTCGCGCAATCCCTATATTCACCTTCCCTCTCCATGATCTTCACGGCAGCTCCAGAAGAAGCGCGCGGCGGCGAAGGAATCCATACGGAAGGTGTAGAGACTGCGCTTGGCTTCCGTTCCACGAGGTCCGTGAGCTGCGTCGCGAATGGGGAAGCGGACATTGAAAACAGCAAGGAAAGGTAATATGTGTATTAAGTTGGAACACTTGGGGGTCATACATCTGATAGAACCCGGAGAAAGTCTCAAGTATCAAACAAGCGAAATGAGACTTCCATGGCATCCGAGCATCGTTGTGCTGCCTGCAAGTATTGCCGCAACAAACAGGTTGCTTTCTGGTGGAACGAATTGTGCGTCTCAGAGGCATGCCAGACACCCTGGCGCAACTCCTCCTCCTCCACCTCCTCCTCATCCTGCACATCCTCCACATCTTCCTCCTCCCCTCCTCCCGCGTAGGATGGGCGTTGCATCTCCCAGGACAAACTCAAGCAGCATAACACATGCTACGCCTTCCGCATTCCTAACCTTCCCCTCGCCGCGCTACATTCCATCAACACGTAAACAACTCCCCCTTCTCCCCCGACTCTGTGCCGAAGTTGTCCCGCCCTCTGCGCGCCTTGCGTTTTGCACATGGGTTACCACTTGTTCCAATCGATTCCCATCCGATCGCCTCCAGTGCTCCAAAATGCTACTCCCGCTGCGGCGTGGGCCCTCGTATAGGATCGGCACTTTGCTCCTGTCGTTGAGGGTGGCGCTCTCGCCCGAGCGAGCGCGGGCAGCTTTTCTGGATCGGGGTCCTGTCGCATCGCTGTCGCCCGCCTCCTTTCCCAGCTCTTCCGCCGTCCAGTCCCGTCTCCTCAAGGTCCTCCTGCTCCTCTTTCCTCCCGCTCCTCTCCCTGCAGCCCCTGCTGATGCCGCTGCTGTTCGTCCTCGTCCTCTTATTACCTCATCCTCCTCTTCCTCCTGCTCATCCGCCACCTCCTCAGCCAATGCACGCAACTCTCATTGTCTGGTTGCGCATAACATGATTGGGTCCTTTTTGGAATTCCAGGTCCGCTACGCCATGACACACGTCGGCGGTTAGAAACCCCTGGCGCAATGTCGGGGGGGCGCAATCGTGGATTAGCGATCTATGGATTTGGCGGGCGGGCGCCAAATCCATGGATTGGGGAAGTGCCTTCCCAAAAATGCGACCAGTGCCGCCTCGTTTGGCGGCGGGAACCCACGATTTCCCATGGAAACGGGACCGGTCGCTAATCCACGCCCCCCTGTTCCATGCTTGCGATCGCCTGACAATGAGAGGGTATGAGTTCGTTGGGGATAGCAACGCTGGGCGCCGCACGTGGCATCGCAGGGCCCAGGCTGGGTCGCTTGTCTCTGGCGCGGCGCGGCGGCCACGCGGTGGCAGTCGCTTGTGGCGCAGCCCTGCCCCGGCAGGGCCGCTTCGCTGCTTCCCCGCGCCGCCGCGCTCCAGCTCGTCCCTGCGGGGCGGGCCGGCGGAGCCGAGGCGGACTGGCGCGCCGCGTGGCGTGGGCGGCTCGCGGCGCTGGCCAGGCCGCCGGATTGAGGCCAGTGCCAGCAGCTCCGGGCGGAGCTGCTTCAGGTTTCACCCCCCGCCCTTCTCCTCCCCTTCCCCCTCCGTGCCACCCACAGGGCTTCCTTCGCGCTGGCAGCAACCAAAATGGGCTGCTCGCAGCAGAACAATTTCTGGCTGTGGAGTGTGAGCGCCTGGAATTCGCGACGTTCCTGACAGTTTTGCAGCGAATCGAGCACGACCAGAGCCCTGTACCACACCTGGGTCGAACCGTGAGGGCCCCACGGCCCCGAAGCTGGACGGAGACGCCCCGTGTGAAGCACTGCCACGCCGGGGCTTCCAATCGGGGGGGGGGGGGGGCGGGGAGCCCGAAACCTGCGTGCGGGCGCGGGCAGCAGCCGCACCAGGTGCGATGGTCCACGCGGCCCGGGCGGAGGAGGCATGGCACATCGGTCGGGCACGCTCTGGCATGGAGCGTTGATATCCGTGGATCTGGCGCGTGGGCTGCAGAGCGGGCGCCAGGTCCAAGTATCGGGAGGAGGGAGGAGGGAGGAGGGAGGAGGGAGGAGGGAGGAGGGAGGAGGTCAGTGCCACCAGGTCTGGCGACGGAGCGCGCCGAATTTGCGTGGATGCGGGACCCGCCACGGATCCACACGCCCCAATAATTACACGTTTGCGCTTTTGTCGGAGGCAGGGCGATGCAGAAAACACCCCCCGCACACGAGGGGCCTCCCCGCGGGTGCGTGCGACGCGGTGTGCTGGTGGCGGCGCGTGGAGAGGGTGATTGTGCGTGCGTGCGAACATGCGCGCGCGAGTTGCAAGGGGCCCAGGGACACACACAAATGAATACACACAAATCCCAGGATTCCCCAGATATATGTTCCCATACTCTCCTGGTCTGTGTCTTCCCCCCCACTTCCCACACTCTCCCATAGCTTCCGGGGAATCGACGATTAATTGTGTCTGTGTGTTTTTCCCCTCCTGAGAGCTGCACAGCGCCACAGTGTTACCCGTGGCTATACCTTCGCGCTGCGGCGTCCGAGGGCAAAGTGTGGTGCACGCTGCTGTACACCTGATGTGCCCTCCGCACAACACGCCACAGCCTGACGCGTGGCCGCCACCCCGCTGCGGCGACGAACGCAGGCCATGGCGATAGACACCTGGAGCCTGCATCGCACAAAGAGGAGGAGGAGGAGGAGGAGGAGGAGGAGGAGGAGGAGGAGGCGGAGGAGGAGGAGGAGGAGGAGGGAGGAGGACGAGGAGGACGAGGAGGGAGGAGGAGGAGGGAGAAGGGAGGACGAGGAGGGAGAAGGGAGGAGGGAGGAGAGAGAAGGGAGGAAGGGAGGGAGGAGGAGGAGGATGAGGAGGAGGAGGAGGAGGAGGAGGAGAATGCACTGCCCAGTCAGCTTGAATACGCCGGCGCTGCCCTTTCTCGGGGGGCTACGTCCGCCGCGCCCCGCCGCAGAACCAGCCCTCGTTCGGCTTCCGCGGGCCTCCGCCGAGTGCGGGATTGGCGGCCTTCGAGCCTGGGAGCCCAGAGGGAGAGGAGCGAGGGCGGGAGGGGGAAAGCAAGAGGAGGATAGCGAGAGCGGGAGAGAGAGAGAGAGAGAGAGAGAGGGAGAGCAGGGAGGGGGGAGGGAGCGAGGGCGGGAGAGGGAGCGATGGCGGGAGAGAGAGGGAGAGAGAGGGAGAGAGAGAGAGAGAGAAAGAGAGAGAGAGAGAGAGAGAAAGCTGGAGCGCGACGACAGACGCAGTGGTTGCGCGAGGAGGGGGGGACCTGAGGATCCCCCGGCGCCTGGCTGGGGGAGAGGGGAACCTGAGGATCCTGGGGTTTGGGGGGACCTATGAAGGGGCCCTGAGACACACAAATAAATACACACTAATAAAAAGATTCCCCATATGTTCCCGTAATTTCTGGGTTCCTGTCTTCCCCCCCACTTCCCATGCTTTTCCATATTTCCTGGAAATCGACGATTAATTGTGTCTGTGTGTTTTTTCCCTCCCTGAACCTAACGATCCTCGGGCTGGGGGGGGAGCCCGGGGAGCTCTCGGGACGGGGAAGGGAACCCGCACGGCGCGTGCGCCTCCGTGGCCAGCGAGGCGCGCGCAGGTGACGCGCGCGGGGCGCGGCGGGCCCAGGTTGTCGAAGCGCGTGTAGCAGGACACGACCACCAGCTGGTGGTTGGTCGTCGAGGTCTTCACCTGGACGGCGTGGGCCCTCGTCGCGGCCCTCTGGGCTCCCCCGCGGCCTCCCGCGTGAATTGTCGGGCCCAAGGAGGCCCCGACACGCGCCAAGAGGGCCGCACGAGACCCCAAAGACGCTCCCAGAGGAAGATTGAATACCTACCAGACAACCCCAACCCAACCCGAAGACTCGAATTTCGGGTTGGGGGGGGTACGGGTTCCATATGTGTTTTTGCAATGTTCCCCGACCCCCCCCCCACTGGAAATGGGGGGCAAATTGAGGCCTTCGGGTTGGGTTGGGGTGGTTTGGTGGGTGGTGAAAGATGGCCTCAAGATGGCCTAAGAGGCCTGCACGACGCCCTAAGAGGCCTCCAAGAGTAATCCCAAGAGGGCCCGAATAAGCACAAATCCATGATTGTCTTCGGGTGTTTGAAGGGGTTTGACGTTCTCGCCTTTGACGTCGTCAGAATCAAAACCATCCTCTTTGAACGCCCTACCACTTCGTGGCCCCCTCCCCACTCCACCCGGCGGCGGGCGAGGGGGGGAGGTGAGAAGGCGAAGGCCTACTCAGAAGGCAACGGGACTTCTCAGCAGCGCTCGCGCCGTCCGACAAGCTGTCCGTTTCACCACGGCAGGCGCAGAAACCCTCGCAGAAGGCCCGGGGTGCTTCCGGGCCTTCTGGGAGGGCCCGCCCCTTCTGGGCAAGCACCTCGGCCCTCAAGCGCTGACCCCCGCCGCGCTCGGCGAACTCCTACTCGGGAGGCTCGCCCGTTGAGCTCCGAAGTGCCTTTCGGCTACATGCGTAGCACATAGTGTATAGATCTATATATACGCGACATATATATATATATATATATATATATACGTTCACACATATATATATATATACATACATACATATATATATGTATATATGAGCACTTTTGTCATCGTTTGTATATAATACACATATAATATGCATACACTCATGATTCCGTGTACTTTCACCATCTGCTCCAGAGAGGGGATCAGGCAGGCAGGTGCACGCGTGGCCGCTCCCAGCGGGCAGGGCACACAGCGCGCGCGCCGCGGTGGGCCGCCGCTGCTCACTACCGTCAGCCTGTCTACCTCCTCCTCCTGAGGAGCCTGAGGAGGAGGAGGAGGAGGAGGGGGAGGGGAAGGGGGAGGAGGAGGAGACCTCCTCCTCGCCCTCCACCTCCCTCTCCCCCTCTTCCTCCCCCTCCTCCTCCTCCTCTCTACACTTACCTCAATATGAATACTACTCTCCCTATTCCCCTGATCGGCGGCCTCGGGCCCTCCTGGCCCTTCCTCCTCCACTCCTCCACCTCGGCACTGCGCTTCTAAGCAAGAGCCGCGGGCTCAGTCAGTCAGTCGTGGTAGGGGATGATGGCCTTGAGCCTGTTCTTGAACTCGGGGCTGTAATACTTCATGTACATAGGATGCGGAGGAGGAGGGGGAGGACTCCCGGGGAGGACGAGGAGGAGCGGTGAGGGACGAGGACGGAGGGTACGTCATCATGTTGCCGCCGAGCGCCATCCACATCCTGAGTCTCAAAGCCTTCTTCCAAAGCCTCAGGAAGGAAAGGAGGATGAAGGAGGAGGAGGAGGAGGGAGGAGGAGGACGCGGCGGCTTCCTCAGAAGCCGCCGACCAGAGGACGACGACGTGACGACGACGACGATGCCTCCGCCACCGTAGGGCCGGCGCCCCTAGTTCTGAATGGGCAACATCATCAGCGTCAAAGAATACGACGGCGGATTCGGCACTGCCAGCACCACTGTCGTGGTACGGGACGATGGCGGTGAGCCTGTTCTTGAACGCGGGGTCGTAGAATTTCAAGTACATAGGAGGAGGAGGAGGAGGAAGAGAAGGGAGAGGACGAGGGACGAGAAAGGAGGAGGAGGGGGCACTGCATCAGGTTTCCGCAGAGCGCCATCCAGAACCTCAGCTTCAATGCCTTTTTCCAAAGCCTCAGGGAAGGAGAGGAGAGGAGGAGGATGAAGGAGGAGGAGGGACCCCGAGGAGGGAGGAGGGACCCTCGGAGGAGGACGACGACGACGGTGCCTGCGGAACCGTAGGGCTGCAGCGCTGGGAGCACTGTCCGTTGCTGACCCGCACCCGCACGGCATCGCACGGTCGCACGGTCGGGAGCGCGATAACCGCGGGATCAGCACAGCTCAGCACAGCTGAGCACAGCCAGTGCAGCCAGTGCACACACTCTCGTGCCAAAGTGGGAAGGTGGAGAGGGAGGAGGAGCAGCAGCATCAGCATCAGCAGGAGGAGGACGATGAGGAGAAGGAAGGAGGGACGATTGACGATTGAGGAGGAGGCTGAGGAGGAAGGACGAGGACGAGGAGGGCGGGCGGCCCCCGACGGAACTCACCTACGTCAGTAACTCCTGGGGATGCACCTAGCTTGTCCTCTCGAATCTCCCTCCTCCTCCCTCCACCTCCTCCTCCTCCTCCTCGTCCTTCTGGTTGTTTTGAATTGTGTTATTTGCGTTGTTTGTGGGGGGTGGGTGGGTGGGGTCGACCGCAACCGGGTGGCCATGCAGGTTCGGCTGCCATGGCCACCCCGACTCTCCTGCCCCCGCTTGCTCACGATCGCCGTCGTCGTCGGCGGCGGCGTCGTCGTGAGTCGTCGTCGTCACGCCATCGTCAATCGTCATCGTCATCGTCATCGTCAGCGTCGTCGTCATCGGCATCGTCATCGTCATCGTCGCCGTCGCCGCAGTCGCCGTCGTCGTCGTCGCCGCCGTCGCCGCCGCCGTCGTCGCCGCCGCCGAGGTTCGGTCGACCACCACTCACGCGCTATCGTCCGTCTCAGCCCGCGGCCCGGGGCCCGCGGCCGCGGCTCCACCTCGGCCACCCCAGCGCGAGCGGCCGCGCCGCCAGGACGGGCAGGGCAGGGCAGGGCAGTCGGGAGAAGCGGAGGGAGGAGGAGGAGAGGGAGGAGGGAGGAAAGAGGAGAAGGGAGGAGGGAGAAGGAGGGAGGAGGAGTAGGAGGAGGAGGAGGAGGAGGAGGAGGAGGAGAAAGAAGAGTGGGATTCTGGGATTCGCAGGACACGCCACTCGGCCGACTCGGCCGCCTCCTCCTCATCACCCCCTCCTCCTCGTTATCCTCCCATTCTCCCACTCCTCCCCCTCATCATCCTATCCTCCACCGCCTCATCCTCATCCTCATCATCCCATCATCGCCATGCCTCGTCCCTCTGCTCCTCCTCCTCCTCCTGAACGGTAAGCGCTCCCCCGAGGGATCCGACACCGCGCCCGTAGCCAGCCAGGCGCGGCTTCGTGCGCCGAATTCTAAAGCTAGGGAGGCGGAGGCGGCCATGCTCTCGCCACGTGCCAAGCCATGCCAAGTCGCGATCTTCGTGTTTGGGCGGTCAATTTGGTTTGGCACGTGACGGTGGGGCAGGCCCAAGCCCCAAGCAAGGCGCGGCACCTCCTGACCTTAAAAGCCGCCGCGGCGGAGGCGGGGCCGCTCTGCACTGCACTCGATGCCTTCACCAAGCCATACCAACCACGCTCCTTTCAATGCACGAAGGCGGCCAGTCTGGCTTGGTGTCTACCAGGGGGCACGACCCAGGGCCCCAGGCAGAGCAGAGAGCGACGCCTATCCAACTTCAAAACGACGACGGCCTCGCCCCAGGGCCGCCGCCAAGAATGTGGCTCGGGCACCCACCCATGCCACGGGATCCCGCTGGCCAGAAGAGAAGGCGGTGGGGGGGAGGAGGAGGGGACGAAGACGGAGGAGGAGGCGGAGGATGGGGGCGATGGGCCAGGGATGGGGAGGAGGAGGAAGCGGAAGCGGAGGAGGAGACAGGATGCAGGAGAGAAAGGAGGCAGGAGGCAAGATGAGCGGGACGCCACGCACGCGAAGCGCTCACCTGACCAAGTGCTTGACGCAGGCGTCTACCTTGGGCTGCGCCGGAGCTCCCGGGGCCGCCGCCCTCTTGGCCCTAGCCGTGGCCTTGACCTTGGGAGCGGTCTGCACAGCGTTGGCCAGGGGCGGGCGACAGATGCGAAACGCGGTGCCGACAGGGGCAGTCTCGGCGGCTTTCGCGATCTCGTCCCACTTGAGCCCGTCGATCTTCAGCTGGACTACCTCGAGAGACAGCTCGATGGTCCTCTCCGCGGCAAAGACTGTGTACGTGTGCGTGAGCGGCACGGCCTTCACCTGCGGCGTCAGGCTGATGTAGTTGTCACCATTACCAAGTGCTGATTCACACTCCACGATCCAGCCAGGCACGAACTCTGGCATCGTGTAGTTTGTACCCGCGGGGTTGATGTACAGATCCACGCCATTGATTGTGCACGTTTTGCACCCGCCCAATGCAGGAATGCGCGAGACCTGCCGGGGCGGGTCAGACATGGTGGAGGAATTGGGCGGTGAGGGGTCAGAGAGCGAACGAAACCATGATTCGCGAGTAGGGGGGGGTCCCCTGTGTCAGCCTGTGCCACTCATCATCATCATCGTCATCATCCTCATCCTCCACATCCTCCTCCTCGTCTCATCGTCATCATCACCCTCTTCGTCATCATGTCATCCTCGGACTCCTCCTCGTCTCCTCCTCCTCCGCCCTCCTCCTCCTCCTCATCCTCCTCCTCCTCACCCCCCTCCTCCTCCCCATCCGCCTCGTCTGCCCCCTCTTGGGTCGGACACCCCCCCCCTGGGCGGCAGGCCATGGCTGCCACCGCCGCCACCGCCGCCACCGCCCCCGCCGCCCTGGAGCTGACTGGCCAGGCTGCCGCGGGGCCCCGGGGGGATGGGGATAGGAGGAGGCTGGAAAAGGAGGAGGAGGAGGGGGGGGGGGGGACGACGAGAGCAGGGGGGTCCACGAGGGAGGAGGAGGAGGAGGAAGGAAGGAAGGAGGAGGAGGAGGAAGAGGAGGAGGGGGGAGGAGGAGGAGGAGAGGAGGAGGAGAAGGGGGAGGAGGAGAGGAGGATGGGGAGGAGGAGGGGGAGGAGCAGGAGGGGGAGGATGAGGAGGAGAGGAGAAGAGAGGAGAGGAGAGGAGT